AAATCATCCTTCTATTTACTCCTCGTCGTGAGAGATTACTGCACATTTTCATGTTGACTTATTTGCACTTCCTCCGTCATGAGCAACATCATCATCTGCACCAATAATAATGTCATCTCCATTAGCGATACATTTATCTCCATTGTCAATTTCCTCTACCTTCTTCTCTTGCATTTCAGTAATCTCTTCCTTGTTTTCATGCATTTTATTGAGCACAAAAATTTGATGATAAAATATTTACAAATACCAATTATCTTTTTCATTGAAGTAGGATTTTCCTCGTCCAAATTATGAACAATACCTAAAAAATTATTCTTTCTCCTCATCACTGGTACTTGTATCTTCCTCATAAAAATGTATTTCTTCTTCTCAATATCATTGTCATCTCTAGCACCGATCCAGTACATCCATCATTAACAGTGTCATTCCTGTTAGCATTATGAATTAAGATCGTTCACATTCAAAAGCAGAATATATGTTGTGATTGTCTAGAATCATAGGGGTTTAATATATTTGAGTTAAAATGGTAGTTGGATACAATTGCTTGCATGTTAGTGCGAGAGGAAACAAAGTTCCACTGTAGTTTTATGTTATAAACGACATGCATTTGCATATACATTAAAGAATACAACTAAGTGTCATTTGTGCATGGTTTTAAAATTGAAAGCATATATTTGTGCACGGTATAGAAATTGAAGGCGTATATACTTGATAATACAACCAGTATATAATTGGATGCATCTGGTGGGTAATAAAGGAAAGTTCCTCGGGAGGTTTTAAATTATACAAACTGCATTTGTCTAGAGTTAAAATAATATAATTGAGTATCAACCATGCATGATATAATAATTGAAGAACTATATACTTGATTATATAACTATGTATAATTTACACGTTGTATACAGTTTATAGCAGTTAATTTAGTGGATTATAGACGCAAGTAATTGCATTGTAAAATCAACATGTGAGAAGTAGACATGGTCGGCAGGTTAGTTAAATAATAACCAGAGGATGCATGTTCAAAATATACTCCAAATCCAATGGAGAATATTACAATTTTATAATTAATATTGATCATCATTTTCATGCAAGTATAATTAACCTCAATCAAGTCAGGAAGATCGTTTGATTTATGCTCTTCTCATCCTTTCCTATCCTGAAAATCATGTACTCACTTGTTGGATTAACGATGCAATATGTGAGCTTAATTTCAAACTTCAATATCATTACCGCAATTTGTAAGAGATGAGTAGGTGGTAATCCTCTCATTATACCGTCGTTTGGGAATAGCCTTTTAGCCGGCATTCCAAATATTCCATATCTCACTCAATCCATAACAACAAAGTTAGCCTCAGTGGTTTTGTTCAGAACTCGAAGGTGGATCTTGAATAAGTATAATGTTAATAATGACATAAACAACAATAGAAACTAATACTTTTATCGACAGGTTTTCACATCCAGCATAGCACCACCCATATTAACTTTGAAAAATTTGTATTTGACGGAATACATATTTTCCTACATATTACATAAAATGTTAGCATTTGATAGTTAATAGGTCGTTAAATCAAAATTGATACTTACCTCTTCTCCATCCTTAATTTTTAATTGATTTAGATTTTTGGTGGTTGGGTTGAAATTAGTTGTTGAGGTGCTTTTGTACTTTTCACTCGAAGAATTGGTCCACCTTTGTCACTTATTTACCAAAATAATGAGTGATAATCAATCCCTTTTTTCTATTTGAAACTTCAAACTTATAACGCGCAATTAAATAAGGTTATTAAATTGTCATGAATTTCACCCTGGCCCAAAATTAATTTATGAAATTCTTGGATTCTCCAAGAGCAAAGTCACTCGAGATGAGAAGAAGGTTTTCTCGCTTGCAAATTTGACGATCGTTTAAATAAATTTTATTAATTTTTTTTCAAATTGTTGGACTAATCATGATAAAGTAATAAAGATATTCCATTCCCATTGTAAATAACGATATATAATGATATAATGACCGGGATGAGAGGACGGTTACCCGCATTTGCAAGGATAACATTTAATTGAGTAACCATCCTACCAAAGAAAGTTACCTTGACAACCAATCCCCTGCAACCAAATTGTATTTTAGATATGCGATTAGAGTCAAAGTAATGTATTCTATTTGCATACTCGAGAAGTTTTAGTTGGAGTCTTCGTGCAAGCAATTCTCTAGTGAGTGTTAGATGTCAATAAACCCGAATAATGAATAAGCTGGCTAACAACATCTGTGCAATGAAAATTTTAAAAAGTTAATTAATATTTTTGGTTTTATACACATCATATTGAAGTAAATTTGAACTGAGAGTAGTAATTCGAACCTGAAAGAAATTTTCTTTTGTTGCACTTCTTATCAATCTCATCTTCTTAGATAAAATAAAGCTTAAAAGCTGGTATGACTGGAATATCATTGCATGACCAATTTGTTTAGAATATAGCCTATAATCTCCCTACTCATACTGGCCATAAAGTCTTGATAGTGCAAACTCTAGCCATGAAACGGGGCCGAAAGTACTTGATTTTTCCTTTGGGAATTTGCACCATAATATCATTATCCTGAAGAAAAAAGTAGGAATATTAATAAATTTTTCAAATTTGAATCATACATTTGAATTTGTGTGGTTGTTGTTAGTTTACACTATGAGTCAATATATCGAGGCAATGACTAATATATGTCTTGGGATTGATTGACATCCACTTCCTCGAAACCTGACATTGAATTGCTTATTCACTATCCTCCAAGTAAAATAACAGTCAAACAATTTTTTTTTGTTTCACAACAGATATTAGATTAACTCACAAAATATGTAATAAGCTCAATCGTGATGCCTGAGCGTGTGATTAAAAAACATAGATTAGCTCTTTCTAAAATAAGAATATTAACATATATAACAATGAATATTATATTGGTAGTAAAATTTAGAAAATAAATATAGAAGCAAAGATTGAAGAATTTTAACACTTAAATACAATTTGATCCTCCCACAATCATGAATACATGTGAACTGAAAAGATTAATTTTCTACTACCAATACATAATAACATATTAGTACGGAGGCAATGGCAATTGAGTAGTGAGTAAAAAAATAAACTAAATTTAGTAAAACATGAATGATGTCTAAATAAGGACTTGTGAGTGAAAGTGAAAGAGCAGTGACAATTGAAGTCCTCATGAAAAAAAAGAATACATGAAATAATTCATAAGCTCATATAATCAACTGGGAAGGACGGGATGTGTTGAGAGAGAGCAGTTGGGTGTCTCTGATCCATGAATTATATTGTAGTCGGGCGAGAGTTAGTTGTTGTATCCCGCCTTTATGCACTATTGTCAGTAGCAACATTTTAAAGTTACGGTGGGTATAGCGAGAATGCAATTGCAAGGTAATACCATTTTTATTTTGTATTCCTATTCAATTAAAAAATTCCATTATTTGTGTGCCGTATAAATTCTGGAATGAACTGATGAGTTAAGCTTTTTAATTTTTTAAATATTTTCTTATTCACTTAATTTAGGCTTCAAAGAGTCTTTATCATTTTTCTTGATATAAGAACCAAATCGGATCAACATTGGGTCAGTAGAATCATAGTTAGTAAATACTCAGTTTAATACACACGTATATGTACCCGTATGTACTTTATCCGTTTAAAACTTCTGTATCCGTATTATTGTCAAGCCGTTTCATTTTTCTCCGTTCATTTTATGGCTCTCGTATTAAACATGTATAAAACTCGTATAACACGTTTAATATCCATATTTAATGAATTAAATTATTAACTTCACCATTATTTGTATATATATATATATATATATATTTATATTTAAAATAAATTATTTTATATATTTATGACTATTAAATATTAACATACTATTAAACGTAACATTAGCATAGAGACAAAGTAAAATATCCGTACGTATTTTATACGTAACTTTCCCACACCGTATTTTACTAACTATGAGTAGAATCACTAAACCAGTAATAATAGCGTTTAGTTCAGTGATAGGATGGTTAGAGATAGACTGAACGATTTTTAATGTTTTGACATGAAACCAGATGACCTGGTTTAACTGATCCACCGGTTCACTATTTAACCAGAAAAAAATAAAAAAAAGTACGTTAACGTAAACTAAAAACATCCATCATCAATCACTAATTTTATTCATACTTCATTTTTGTCATTTCTCATCCTCCTTGTCGGATTTATCTGGTTCACTATGGAGTGTCACTCTATTATTGACTTGAATTTAACAACAACAAAAAAGATGATTTCTTTTGTGAGATAATTTGAATGTTTTGTTAGAATATTTTTTTGTGATAGATGATATGGATTTGAAATTTTTTATGTGTAGTGATAAATTCACTCCTAAATTAACATATTATATATCTCTAGCCCATACACTGCTCTATCTGAAGATTCCTCTACCTGAAGCAAAATCTATAGGCGATATTTAGCGGTATGAAATGGTTGAACTACAATTTTAATATAAAATACCTTATCACTAACTTTTTCGGTACGACCTCCGGTACAATATTACAGTCCGAACTCTCAATTGCCATTACTAATGCCGAAAGGATTATGCAAAGAGAAGTCCGAACTCCAAATTGTACAGCTTAAGGTAAGCAGTGAAGCCTCTAATTAAATTGCCTTTTAGCTTTAACCAATAAAATAGTAGTGAACAGCCGAGTAATTAAAAGGACTTTGTTGTCCTTCCGAAGTGTGCGCAGAGGGCTGGAAAAACTGAATTGGGTAGGTGATTATAGAGAACCTCTATATATTATTTGTAGGATTAATAAAAGGCTATCACCATTAAAAAAAAAATTCAATCCATGGTAAATAAGCTGCTGTAACGGCCATCCACGAAAACGACAGCGTTTCAGGGGCGTAGTTCACTATTTGACGCTCTCCAGAATCTAGCCGTTAATGGCACATGTGGCCCCCACTCTCCGTCCTGCGAGTTCAAAAAGGTCGGGGAAAAAAATTCGACCGTTGGAAGATGCATCCGCCCGTCCACCCTAACGTTATACTTGACAAGTCTTAACACTCCTCCTCCGCCCCCATTATCGTCAAACTACCCACCCCCCAAAATTCATCACTCTCCATCGGACACACACAAAACTCTTCTCCGATTTTACTTCCTCAACTTCTCCCCGGCTTCCCTTCCCCCAACGTCTCGCTCAATTTCCTCATCCCCCACTTACTATGGCTGCCGCGGCGACTGAGGATCCCACCGGCGCGGCCGAAGGAGGCACTGCCGCCGTTTCTTCAGTGATCGACGAGATATACGAGTTCTCCGCTCCCAGGTTCTTCGATTTCACTAAAGCGGAGTCCAAGGAAGATATGAGGAAGGCGGAGCTCTGGTTCGACACTGCTCTCAGTCACGCCCCTTCTCGTACGTTTCCTCCCTCCTTACAATTCTCTCCGACTCTCCCACTCTCTTTCTTCTTTTATCGTTCTTGGATTAGTCGGAAAACACCACAATCATTGCTCGCTCACAGTCTTCAGGAGTTTGCGAATTCACTGATTGCTCCTGGTTTGCTAGGTTTGGTGTGGTTTCAATTTGAATTCTTGAATTAGGGGTTTGTGAATTCACTGATTTTGCTCCTGGTTTGCTAGGTTAGGTTGGGTGTGGTTTTAATTTGAATTCTTGAATTAGGGGTTTACTGGTTAACATCAAGGGTTAGGGTAAAAAATCTGCTTGATCGATCGCAGAAGGCTCTGTACCGAGTCTTGATGATTTTGTTGTTCTATGATTCGTTTGTGCAGCTTTTATGCCAAGAATTAGGACTGGCAGATCACTCAAAGTTGACAGCCTGTGTGATTTTACTGAAGCTGACCAAATCCCCAAGGTAGGTCATTATATGATTGAGATTCCTTCGCTCGTTGATCAAGTGATTATTAAGCCAAATTGACATGACGTTCATATTCTGTAATAGGCATCAGAATCCTCAGAGTCAACTGCTTCTGAGAGAAAAGACAAGCAATCAGCTGAAACAAGGGAAGCAGCAGCAAACAAGGAAAACAATGGCTGCCAGGTGAATGTGGTAAGTCTTTTTTTTTTTTTTTTTTTTGAAAGTTTGAATGTGGTAAGTTGTTGAAAGGGCGTGGTGTAGAAGATCAAATGATAATGTGGACACCATATTTATTATGTTCTAATACACTCGTTTCCGACACCTTTCAGTTACCTGCTGGCAATGATACTTGCAAGGGCGTTGTGGAGAAGGCTATTCTCTTCTTTGAGCAGAAAGAGAAAGCAAATATTCACAAGCAAGAACATGCAAGGTTCACTTTTTATGTACTCTTTTTTTATGGATTTAAATGCTTTATTTCCTCAACAGATTGCTCTGATGGCTAATGGGGATTACGTTCAATGCCGTTAATGAGTTTATATATGTTGTTTGAAACAGAATTACTTCCATGAAAGTTGAATCTGCTGAAGTTAAAGATCAAACCAGAACCGAGGCCTGCAGCACGCCTCAGCCATCATTGCATTCACAGAAGGGAGGTGCATTGACGGACTCCAAGAAGCATCAATCAGCCAGGCACATAGCTAGTTTGGTTAAGAATCCATCAGTGCTAAAATCCAAGAGTCAAGCACAATCCTCCCAGGTCAAAGGTGTCAAACCACAGTCAAGCCTGAAAAAGTCAGTAGGCATATTTCTGTGATCTTTCTATCCTTAAACCTCTTGTGTCTGAGTCATTATTAATCATGAGTTGCACTGGATTCCTTTGCAGAGGAGGTAATAATAATACAAACAATCCTGCTGGAGCTTTCTCCTTCGCACATGAGAACCAGGCCATCAAACGGCAGAAGCTTGAAGATGGGAAATCCAGACAGGTGACTGTTGCTTGCCTTGACATCCCCCCTTTTCAAGTTCAACTTTCACGCAAGCTGGTTCTAACTAACTATTTGTCTGTCGATGGAAATTTCAGATTCTTAATGTTAGACCCCCACAACCATTACCCCACAAGTCCAAGCTGGGTCTTTCAACTAGCAATGCAAACGGTGTAGCTAACAGAACGCAGAAAGAGGAGAGAAAGGTTAGCTTTTTGCAGCCATGAACAAATGATAATCTACCACCACGCCCTGATCCAGTTCTAGCGAAGTGATATTGAACTGTATTTCTTTGTATCCTTCTATTAAGGTTTACGTTCGGGAAACAGCTGTGCAAGCTCCTTTTGTCTCGACGGCAGAAATGATGAGGAAGTTCCAAACCAGTACTAGGGAGTTGTCTTTACCTATCCCACAGGTAACGATACAATCTAAGCTTGTCCTGTTTTACTTCTTTCGGTCCCAGTCAATTTCGTTGACGATTGTGCTTCTGCCACTCAGGGGAAACCTAAGCTCACGCTTACAAGGCCCAAGGAGCCGGCTTTTGAAACGGCTCAGAGGGTCCGTCCAGTCAGAGTTAAGAGTAGTGCGGAGCTTGAAGAAGAGATGTTGGCCAAAATTCCAAAATTCAAAGCTAGACCAGTAAACAAGAAGGTAACAATAATACTAGCTTCTGCTTCTTGTCGTTGTTTCTCTTACAGCTGCATTATTCTGTATTCGTTTCTTCATGCACTCGATTCTTCCAACAGATTCTGGAAGCTTCAACTCTGCCAATAATACCAAGAAGTACACCACAGGCACCTGAGTTTCAGGCAAGTCTCCCAGCCATAATGGTTCCTTTGGCCTGTTGTTTCCACTCACTTGGTTAAGGCGCTTAACTTAGTGTTTCCTTCATTCTACCAGGAGTTCCATCTTGAGACAGCAGTTAGGGCTACTCACAATGCAGAATCAGCGTCAGTAGCCTCAACAGAAGTTTCTCGTCGGGTACGTAGTAACCACTCCACAATGATGTTGTCAATTATTACCCAGAAAAACTTAATTCAAACGTACTCATTCTGTTTTCCCCATTTATCTGTCACCTTCAATGCAGAACAATGAATGGAAGCCTCATTGCACCGAACCTAAAACTCCATTGCTTCAGACCTCTTTGAGAGCTCGTCCAGTAAAGGTTAAAAGTACTCTTGAACTTGAGAAAGAGGCTCTCGAGAAGATTCCTAAGTTCAAGGCAAAGCCTTTGAACAAAAAGGTATGGTATCTAACTTCTTCTCATTGAGTACTGCTTTATGAACGATACATCAGACTTTTTAATCTAACCAACTTGACATCTGTGCTTGTATAGATATTTGAAAGTAAAGGAGAACTTGGGATCTTCTGTAATACCAAGAAGCAGGTCACGGTACCTAAAGAATTCCACTTTGCCATAGATGAGAGAATTCCACCTCCCACTGTTTTTGCTGACATGTTTGATAAGGTAGGTTTCTTTTGTAGACTTTTTGTATACCTTGTTGAAACCATAAAGTGTGACTCGACTCATCAATGAACTCTTTGCAGCTTTCCTTGAACTCGGAATCTCAGGACAATCATCTGCTTCCTAGAAACACAGCACCAAACCCGTTCCATTTGCACACGGAGGTATTTGGTCAATCTTTTCATGAAGATGAGAAAGCATCTTGCACATTAATCCAATCCAAGTCCCAGATAATGAATCTTGTTACCATATGGCCAACCTTTTATTTCTTTTTCTGTCTTCAGGAAAGAGGGGCAGAAAAAGAAAGGAGGCTTGCCATGGAACTGGAGAGGAAAAAAATGGAGGACGAACTTGCTAGGGTCCCGAAGGCAACTCCGTATCCTTACACAACGGATTATCCAGTGGTAATTGATATCATCCATCCCATCAACATGTTGCTTGCTGCTACTCCCTTTTACGTGTGTAGGTAGACTTTTTTTCAATATCTGCCAGCATCTAATTTTGCAGTTGCTCTTTGTTTTGCAGGTTCCGCCAAAACCAAACCCCAAGCCATCCACAAGACCTGAACCATTTCAATTGGAGAGCCTTGTGAGACATGAAGAAGAAATGCAGAAGGAAATGGAGGACAGACTGAGGAAGGAGAAGGAAGAAGCCCAGATGAGGATATTCAAAGCACAGCCAGTTCTCAAAGAGTAAGTAAATAGGGATTATTGCTGCTTTAATTTATCTCTAAGTGAGTGCATGCAGTCAGTCATATTATTTTTCCTATTGTAACAGGGATCCCATTCCAGTACCAGAGAAGGTGCGGATACCTCTTACAGAGGTTCAACAAATCCATCTTCATGTGGATCACCGAGCAGTAGACAGGAAAGAATTTGATCAGAAGGTAAGCTTCACTCTGGTCCATCTTCAGCGTGTCAAAGTAACTTGAACGTGTAGCTAGCTAAATTTTGGCTGCTCATAAATTATTTTGCGTTCTGTTTTTATCAGGTGAAGCAAAAGGAAATGATGTATAAGCGATATAGAGAGGAAAGTGAAGCTGCAAAGATGGTAAGTCGTCCGTCCTATAAGACATGGTACATTTTATAGAATTTGTTATTTTGGTTGACACTGATTCCTAATAATGGCTGAATTATGGGTGGGTTAACAGATTGAGGAAGAGAAGGCATTGAAGCAGCTGAGGAGAACAATGGTACCTCATGCTAGACCAGTCCCAAACTTCGAGCACCCCTTCTGCCCCCAGAAGTAAGAAGCAGAAAAAGAAATGAGACCAGCTGACTCTACTCTGATCTTAGTACGTGCATTCATGGTCGGTTGATTGATTCATTTGGTGCGTTCTATATTTACAGATCTTGCAAAGTAGCAACGAAGCCAAAGTCGCCGAAATTGCGAGTGCTTCACAGGAGAGAACAGCAAAAGAGGAGGAGCAGCTTCATGAGGGCTGCAGCAGCAGCTTCTAGCCCTGCTTCATGCATGCGGTGATTGATGGGTAGACTTGTAACTTCCTCTGTTCAAGATCTCTTGAACCGGCCAAGCCAGCCGCCGCCTGTTCAAAATTCTTTCTTGTGTTGTACACAATGTGATGTTGTCTTCTAACATTGTAGATCTGTTATGAAAGTAAAAAAAGCAAATCATGTGATGATTTTAATTTCTGGTTCTGTTCTAATTTACAGAGGTATTTTCTGGGATGACACATTTGTCGTAACTAGGAAAAAATATGTCCCTAGTTTTACACCTCGGAGCTGAATTCTGATACTCAAAACACCGGATCGGAAGAACATCATGTGTCAGCTTTAGAATATTGATCTAGTCAAACATGAGTGAAAAATAGTTAATGATCGAGCAATCCAATCAGCTCTCACGTTTCTGGATTCCAAGGACTTCTCTAACTTTGATTTGTGGGTTGTTTGAGAATAGACTCCATATGTGAGAAACACATTTATTGGGGTTTCTCTTATTAATTATGAATAGGATAATTATAATTATGGTTAGTAGAGATTTAGTCGTATTAGAATTATTATTAGAGTTTTCCAGTATTTCCTATATATATGTACTCTGGGTTTACGTCATAATCAATCAAGAACAATATTAAGAAGAATCTCCTAAACCCTAGTTTATCCTCTCAACTCCTAATTTCTCGTCTCATCCTAGTCCAAGGCCTCGGCCGATTCCCAATTCTATTCTATCTCATCTAAATCCCTAATTCTTTCTCTCAAACCCTAAATCCCTAATTATCACGAGTGCCGAAGATCAGTATCGAGAATCCCTAGAAGCGAGGTTCTCACAGTGGTATCAGAGCCCGGTTGCAGGCATTCGTACCGGAGCCATGTCGAGATTCGAAGAGCTCATAATCGAAGAACTCACTCGGATTCTTAAGATGAAGTTGGAATCTGCCGGATATACTCATCGACAGAGGTTGGAGAGGAGTCCAGTCCCAATCGAACCGATGATGGCAGAAATCGATTTCGAAGAGTGGTTGGAACAACCTGCGTTCCCCGTCGATTTCGAGAAGAGAATGGAGATAGTGGAGCCTCTGGCGGCAGAGACGCCAACCAGCATCGGACTGAAGGTAGAAGCAGTGACGAGTCGAGTCTCGCCATCACTGCCAACAGTCATCGCCGTGAAGACCGAGGAGCGGCTCAAAGTTGCAAAGGCGACAGTCCTGGCGGTGGTCGAAGAAGAAGGGAAACTTGCTTCTCTGGCAGCTGCACTTGACAAGGAGAACAAGGTTTCCGAGGGTGCAGTCAATACTGAGGCGGAAGAAGAAGGTGGCCTTGTTGCTGCTACCGCTGTTCTCGACAATGAAAAAGCAGCCGCCTCTGTAGAAGACTCCCAAGCAGGAGATGCGGAGCAAAGGTCAACACTAGAGCGATCGAACCTCGCAATTGATGGGTGGAAATACAGAAAGAAGAAAGCAAGGGTTAGAGATGACCCTGAGTTCGATGAGTTGGGAGATTGGAAAGAGTCGGCCAGTACGGAAGACGAACTCGCCGACGAATTGGAACGGCGGGGTGAAGACAGGGAGCAGCGCCGATGTTGGCCGCCAAAGAGAAGCAGGGGCAGAGCTGAAGACGTCGACCGAGCAGCCGCGAAAAGGAAAGGCGAGCTGGGCGGCAATGCAGCAGCTCTAGTCGCGGCGGCAACAACTTGTTCGCTGACAAAGAAGAAAACGTCGTGGATGAACTCGCGGGAAGAGGAGGGGAAGAAGGAAGGGGACGATGTCCTGGGCACGGAGACGAAGAGCACCATGTTGCGCTTGTCGTCCATCTCCCGGAGGGTCTCACCATCGACGAACGAGTTGAAGAAGAAGCTGAACGAGAAGAAGAAGACGAAGTCGATGGCGAGCGAAGAGAGGGAGCAGAAGACGGGGGTGGCGGCTATGGGCTGGCCGCCGTGCATCCGGTTGGGCTGGTCGCCGCCGGGAAAGGAACTTGAGGGGAAGGTGGAAGTCGGCGGCGGCGCTCTGTTTCCGTTCAAGCCGCTGCGTCTCCCTTCCTGCAATGAAACCCTACTCACCTTCCATGTGCCAACGAGTGGGCTCGAGTGTGTTTGGTTGGGCCGAAGCTCGGAGTGGGTCGAGCTCATGACGGGCCAAGATGGTTGGGTCGCAAGTCTCTATGGGTCAGAGTTAAAAAGCGGGCTCGTTTTTGGTGAGTTGGAGTTCGCTGGGTCTGATCCAACGGAGCAGGCGGAGGAAGAGGTAATCAATGTGCCGCCCGAGAGCAGTCTCACCAGAGCCCTTTTATGTTGGTTTGGGCCGAGAAGTGATAATGAGCTTGTTGGACACATCTTGAGCGGGCCAACTCTGCAAGATGGGCCGAGTCCATCAATGGGCCATTTCTTTAGATATGTTTTGCAGGGACATAACTTAAAGGAGGAAGAGTGTTTGATGGGCTTAACAAGTGGGTCTTTAGAGGAGATAAGCCCAAACGAAATTAAAAGGAGGAGGAGTGCACAAGAGCTTCAAATTGGCTTGAGCAATAATTCTTTCTTCCGAATTCATGTGGGCCGACCCAAAAGTGAAGAAAGAGAGGAATGGGTAAGGCTTGAGTTTATCTGCACCACCAAACCCATTGCGGGATTGAGGGAGCAGTTTCTTGAAGCTTTCGAGGCAGTTTATGAGAATGGGCTCAAGGAAGAACCATTTCCCGATTCTTATTTCGTGGATTTTGAAAAGAAAGAGGAAGAATTGTTCGTTTATGGGAAATGTGACGTGTGTCACGAAATTCGAGAAGAGTGGAAGAACGTTGGAGTTGAAGAAGTCATTCTTGAGTTGGAACGCAATTGGAAACAAAGAAAGCGGAAGGTCAAGGAGGTAGAAGTCAACTACAACCTTGAGGTCAAGGTTGTTCTCAAGGGGGATGGATTGTGAGAAACACATTTATTGGGGTTTCTCTTATTAATTATGAATAGGATAATTATAATTATGTTTAGTAGAGATTTAGTCGTATTAGGATTATTATTAGGGTTTTCCAGTATTTCCTATATATATGTACTCTGGGTTTACGTCATAATCAATCAAGAACAATATTAAGAAGAATCTCCTAAACCCTAGTTTATCCTCTCAACTCCTAATTTCTCGTCTCATCCTAGTCCAAGGCCTCGGCCGATTCCCAATTCTATTATATCTCATCTAAATCCCTAATTCTTTCTCTCAAACCCTAAATCCCTAATTATCACGAGTGCCGAAGATCAGTATCGAGAATCCCTAGAAGCGAGGTTCTCACACCATCATACCCAACGAAGCAGCAAGAACTTGACCGTCTGTTTAGACAACAAATTCTCAATGGACCTGGTGTTGGCAAAAGACTAATTGGCTTGGAAGTTCAATGTCTCAGGTGATTTTTGTATGTTCGTTCAACATCATATCGGATCAGGGGCATCACTCACCCTACGGACTACATTATTATTCTCGATCATGTCTTATACTTCCTTATATAATCTTACTGTTCTTCTCTTTCGATTGTGAAACGAAGTTGATCTCATTGTAAAAAAAGATGGAGTTACGTGGTTGCTAGGTTTAGTCATCTGGGACCTGGGTGGTAGTACTAAAGTAGGATTGTGGACTGCCCATTGTTCATGATTGAGACGAGACAAGCAGAGCTTTACTGATGTGACGATGGCATTACCTTGCTGTGGGAGCTAGCTTGGCTACTATGATTTCTTAGTCAAGTCCGACTCCAATGGCAAGAGATCGTATTGCACGCACCTTTCGAGGCGATGGCTTTTCCAAGCTCGGCTAGACTGCTATTCACGACGAGGAGCTCATTCCACAACCACTGTGTTCCTTGCTTCGCCCGGGGTTGGTTCAGTTCATTGGAAAGTAGCTATGTTCTGCTGCCGTGACTTCCTTGATTAATTCAGCAATTACAGAAAAGGACGATTATATTTCTGTGCAACAGACTGAACACTGGTAAGTCCTTATGGAAACAGACTGGACCCTATGCCGACTAGGCTTCATTCTCCGCGGATTATAAATTGAAACGCGGGAGAAAGGTCCTACACATTCCTTCCCTTCCAATTTTGATAAAGAAACCTGCAGGATGCCACACGAGAGCCTCAATGTCGAAGGATTATGAACTTTTTGCCTGTAGTTTTGGTCCTTATACTGCAAACCCATAACTTACAAAGCTACAGTATTTGTATGTATGACACGCCTCATCGACCAGATCCAGAAGCCTCTTTCTTTTTATTGCTCCTCCTTTACTTCCTCCTTGGCGCCAGAAGGTGCCTCAGCCTCCATTCGTCCTCCACTAGCAGCAGCTTCCCGCTCCACCTTCAGCTTCTTGTTGAATGCTATCATCTGTTCCCAGTGACAAAAAAAAAAAAGTGCCAGAGTTGGACTATGCTTGTGATGGTTTTTACTTTTTAGCCAAACAAACACAAATGTTGCATCAGCCGACAGCTAGTTTTAATCAAGCCTGAGGCTTCAAGCAAACTCGTAAGGCTAGGTCCGACACTCACCAAATAACTTCTGGGAAGGTAGCTCGTGAAGTCAGCATGGCCTCTTGTTAGCATTGCTAATGTTTCCTCGTTGTTTTCCAATACCTGCAGGCCATCCTTGGAAGATGGAGTTTCAAGGGTGGGAAGCATGCCATAGAACTCAGCCACCAAATAGAGATCGACTTCTTCAGCAGTCAGTGACAATTTCTGAGCAATGAACTGCAGGGAATTTTTCCACGATCAGATTGAGCAAAAGAAAAAAGCAGAACAGGAATCAGCTCAGGTCTGTTGTTTTGTTCTCAGCAATGTAGTCAAAATCGCGTTTTAAAGCTTAAAAACTTACGCTTTTACGTTTTTAGGTCACCAAAGCGCTGCTACGCAAAATCATAGTTTTTATAGCTAATGTAGTTAAAAACGCGCTTTCAAACTTTAAAGACTTACGATTTTACGCTTCTAGATCATCAAAACGTTTCCACGTAGAAACACGATTTTGACTATATTGGTTCTCAGCAGAAGTTTAACAGATTTCACATGCCAGGCCTTGAGTCTTTCAACATCAATCCGAGGAAGTACAAAGTTATAGAGACCAAGTAACTATGAGATGCCAGAATTTAAACCCTGTTTTCAGAGATTCGCAGAAACTATGAAGAAAAACAAAAAGTTATTGATGAAGCAAGTACGCAATCTGAACCAAAAGTCACCTTTCCTCCCGAGATTCTGCTCTAATATTATGTGTTCTCATGAAGGTCCTCAGAGGGGAAGGGAACTGAAATTATGATTTACCATTCACCAGAAGGAAGTGTTATGTTTCCCGTAACATTTTTTACATGATAAATGTGTTCTATAATATGTTACAATAAGGCGTAACGTGAGAAAATGTATTATTCTCAAGAGTATATGATTATCACTTAGGGTTCCTTTGAGAAAACTGCCAAGCATACAAAAGGGAAAGATTACATAGGTTAGGGCAGGAAACCTCACCTCCCGGATTTGTCCAATAGACGAGGTAGATCGGCAGCGAAAATAAGGCTGTTCCAAACTTGGTGAGGATTCTTTCTCCAGGGGAAGTACTATCAGATTCAAATCCGACTGTGAAAACAGAAAATAGCAAGTGAGGTCACTGGAGCCATGATGAATACAACAGGTACTTCATAACACAACTCATACTATACTCCTCAGATGCATGATAATCACATAGGCTCCTTCGATTAGTCAGATTTCGACACAGAGATTCACTAGGCTACTGCTCTCAGTCGGATTTCTAACAGTTCAGTCATCAGTGCAGCAGGGTCTTCCATATCCTCTTTTATCATTCCTCGAGGCAGAACAAAGTCCACATGCAGTCATGAGATTTCAGATTCCCAATTCCCTAAATTCATTTCGTCCTTCATTTTCAGTGAATAGGACATGGAATCAAAACCAAAGTTTAAACAGTCCGGTGAGGATATCTTTATGTATGCCTACCTTCATTGCCAAGAGGAGACTAAGGTGAAAAGACCAGAATGCAGAGGATTTGTTCAAGAAAACAATGCCCGTAGGTAGGACTAAAACAAACAGACTATTCACCCTCAATTCCACAAATGTTCAAATCTATAAGCCACCTCCAAAATGAAATTACATTTCCAACATTGCCCCTTGAAAATAAAAGCATATTCATATAGTTATACACAATAGTAATTTTCCCAAAAACCATTCATTTCTTCATTATTAAACAAGCTATTTACCAACCTTTCAATTATGTTTTTCTTTCTAAAGCACATCTCATATCCGATCAACTCAACTTCTTCCAAAACCTAACCAAAGAACATGATTCTTCAATACTACCAAAACTTAGGCAAAAACAAACAAACCCACTAGTATCAAAGTTTGACCATTTACCTCTTCCTCAGTTTTTTCTTCAACTGATGTATTTTTAAGATGCTCCATCAGCTTTGATATGCGACTGTTTCGCATGTGCCTATTATTGCTGCTACTAGCAGCGCCATGCCGGGTGTTGCTCCTCGTGCCGCCCCTCCCCCAATTAAGCATTTCAGTATTAATAAATGGGAGCACGAGAGACATTCCCTGGTGTTCTCGGCTAGTTTCTTGATCATTATTGTCAGCAGTAACTCCTCCAGAGTTCACTCCTGATGAAGAAGGCGGATGAGAGGTCCTCAGCCCTGGTCGTCCCCTTCGTCTTCTCGGCCTAACTTCTGGAGATCGTTCATCAGCAGAGGACGAATCCTTGCCGTCTACAGTGTCCTCGTTATTTTCTTCCTCCATATCTTCAGATCCTTGATAATCCATACTTCTTCTGTTTCTCTGTCTCCTTGATTGAGTAGTTCGAAGGTTCCTCTGTGATCTGGCAGCAAATTGTGCAGGTGATTCTTTTCCAATGTTCCGCCTCCTCGCCAATGCTTCTGACTGCCTTTGAAATATTTGGGCTATAGATGCTTGTATCTGATGATACATAATTTAAAGGAAGTGATTTTTTTTATACTTTGGCATTATGAATTTATGAGATAGTGCAACTCAGTCTTCTGAAAGCATAAAAACAAAACTACCATAATTTCAGGAAAGAAGATGCATACTCAAACGGAGACATCAGCATTATTCATATGGTAATGCATAAAAAACAGCATCCATTTGTTACTGCATCTTCCATACTTAAAAAAAACTGAGACGAATGAATCATACACACAAGAATTTAGTAAAGAAAGTAGAAGTATAGCAGTGATGAACAGATAGATCTCTCATAACCACATGAAATTTTTTCTGAAGTTCATTACTGAGTGTCCAAATAAATTTCAACACCGCCGCAATCGAAACATCCATCAACACCTAAGACAACAGAAGCTACCAACTAAGTAACTGTCTAACAACCCCTATTTCCATCATTGTGATACTATCCGCACATACGGTAGCCAGCCAACAAAACAAATTTTACCATCGACAACAAAAACCAGGTCAAGATATGGACCTTTTAATTACCTAAATCCACTCAATCGTACAACTATCCAACAGATACTGTTGTAAATGGGACAAATCCAATGTCGGGAGTAATTGATGAAGTCTGGGGTTCTACCCTATGTACAGATTCTGGATGAACAAATGACTATAACCTGCCAAATAGCACATGTTTTCAGAACCATTTTAACTTTTATCTAAGAGTTCTGCCACTATTATGTTCACAGAGAATGTGGAGGGGGTTGCCTGATGGTACGACACCTTAGTGAGCAAGACGCAATTTGGTTGAAAGCTCACTGGTAATTTATAACAAACAGCTTAATTTATATGAAATGGAAAACTTAATTTCACACAGAGCAGACTGCAAATCATAAGAGCTATTACAAGAACTGCTATGCCAAACTTCAGACAGAACCATGGCTCTGTTCTCCTGAAGATTCTTCATAATCTTCAAATCACAGAAGGTCTCTCATACATTAGAAGAAAACAATCCCAGCACGAATCAATAGATCCAGTAAGAGTATATACAGTTTTTAGATTTGACCAATAGTATGTCTTTGCAGACAAGATCAAATTGCAAAGACTGATGTATGACATTAAGAAGCAGTGTAATGGCATCAAAATTAGGACAAAAGCATATTAGCCCTCGAACCATTTCAGGGGATTTAGATTATAGAGGAAGGGAAAACAAATAGCAAAAACAAAAGGAGAAATTAGATGAGTTTTATTTCACTATTTGTTTTAGATACTCTTAAACACTACTTGACAAATTAAAAAACGCACAGGAACTAGGGGCAAGAACACGCAGCGGATAATCTGCACAGGGAGTGGAGCAAATTCAGAGAAAAGAAAAGCAAAGGCGAAGGTGTGTGCCATCGGGCATGTTGATAAAATACAAATATAAATATGGCTGCTAAAATCGAAGGATAATTTGGATATGGATCCAATCCAACCTAACAGTTTTACTCAAAATCCAAGTCTCTTCTGCAACAATCTGCTTATGAAGAGTTCTCATAGATTTAGTACTACTACGTTGATTCAACAATCATAGCAAAATTGGGCTGAACCAAGAAAATCAAATTGATTTCTACCTAAGGAAAAAATGAGCCCACCATGAATCAACGAGTCCTGTGACTGCCATTGTTTGCCTACACATAGATCTGTGAGAAAGGACCAGCTTGCAAGTTTCAATTGAACATACAAATTGAGACATATGAAACTTGTTGCAGAAAAGTATATCAAAAGATGTCAAACAAATAATCTCCACACCTAAACCGGAGAATTTAGCTGAGATCAGCTAGTGTTCAATGGTCAAAGGTAGTACTAGCATGATGAGAAAGGGACTTGCCATGGGTGGGAATTTTTAGACAAGAGACAGAAGCAAAACATTACAAATATATAGAGCCTAAGCTTACAAGAGTTGCAATGCGTACTTAAGTCAAATTTAGTATAGCAGCCCCTCTGACTCTGTAGTTTGACAGTATATAGTGAACACTTAACCAATGAGCTAAATGTTACAGCAGCAAATTACAGAACTTTTCTGTAAATAAGGTCATTGATATAACAAAGATATGGAAGTTGCTTTATTATAACAGACACTTCCTTATGTGGTGTGCAAATGAAACAAATGCATGGTATGATATGTTTCATAGTAAGCTATGATCCAATGTAAAGACAGTTACAGTACCAATACTGAAAAAATTAAATTCCCTGTAAATAAAATCCATAGTTGATCTAATAAAAATTTAACGCACACACCTGCTTGTTCCGAGTCCTTTCCTCTTCATGGAAAGCCAATTCCTGCACCAAATACTGAATCAGCCAAAAAGCTAAAATCAAGGAAAAGCTGTGGTACACAACCAAAAGATTGAAAAAAAAAGGACTAGTCAAAATAATCTACCTTTTCCTCATACTTATCAATATCAGGATATAAAGCTGCAATTAAAGCATCATAATTAGGATCATCTCTCAAAGAACGCCGACTTGCACAATGGGTACGACAAGCCGGGCACTCTTTGTTCCTGCAACAAATGGAAGATATTATCAGGAGATGTTACATTAATCACCGACAACACACTCCTAACAAATGAAGATATCAGATTTTTGAGATAAATAGGTAACAGAAAACTCCTTGAATATAAATGCGGTGTGTTATACATTACCCGAATCGCATTGATTTGTCAATGCATTCCCTGCAAAAGCGATGTAAGCACTCCATGACGGTTCTTGTTTTCTTTATGATCCCTATTCAACTCAAAAGAGAATATAAACATTGAGCTTTAAGCAAGTAACCCATGCATGAAAGATTGAAGTATCAGGATCTGAAAGATCTCCTTCTAGGTTAAGTCATATTCACGATTTGCAAAAGCCATTCTGGTAAAAACTTGAACATTGTTTTTGAAGTCATTGATTTGCTGGCAGAAAATAATATAAGGATCTAACGAACAAAAAACAGAACATATTCCAGATTGATAAGTAAGTTCCAGATGTTGTGCTTCCAACATATTTTTTTATGAGCACACCAACGAAGGGATTGATCGTTAACTACTGTCTAAAATCCCTACATATCTGCAATTCATCACCATCAATTAACAAACAGAGAGAAATCCATAGAGATGAATGCTTTCCACATACCCAAAAGCAAGTGGTTACTATTAGGAAAAGGGGGGGGGGGGGGGGGGGGGAGAAAATGATCGTAAATTTCTAAATTAATGCGGATAATGTTGACATCAGACAAGCATTCCAGATATGGCAATGAGAATTATATTGGCAAGTGAGACACGGCTAGATGGAAGAATATCCACTCTTCTCTGCTAGTCGATATGTGTCACCCTGGCCGTTTTCAAGATTAGAGATCATTGCCGACGGGATCTTACAACCTTGTAGGTGTATTTTTGACGTAAAAGTAGACAGCAGGGCTACACAAATTCTACGTAAAATGTCTTTTACATGCATGCTGGTATAAGATTTAGGGTGAATACAATATATTAGCCACAACTATTATGAAGTGGCGAATTATAGCTACAACTATGAAAATTCAAATTATTAGCCAAACGTTAACTCTTTGTTAGCAATTTTGTTAGTAATACTGACTAAACTTTTATGTTTTAAAGTTATAAATTAAAAGCAGTCCGACGTGGCTGCTGCCGTGGCCTACTCAATAATAGTAACCGACAATTAGCCATATCTTGACCCGCAACAATAGTTATGGCTAATAATTTGAATTTACATAGTTGTGGCTATAATTCCCTGCTTCATAATAGTTGTGGCTAATATATCGTATTTACCCTAGGATTTAAGAAAAATGAGCATCTCTCAGCCCATTTGCGAATGGCAGCATTGAGCTTTACAAAGTATAGTACATTGGTTTCCTACATTCAATAAGATTTTCTTAGATAAGCATAAGTTGAAACTAAACAGGAGTAAGATTACCTAAACAAAAGCAGAGCAATGCCAACAATTTACTCCAATAAGCACTTACTGAAGTAACATATATATTCCGATGAGTAACCGACTATTCCAGTTGAGCTACCTATATGCTTTCTGCCTACTAATCTATTTCAAGTCTATATTCCGAATCCATCATCAGTAGCCAAAATACTTCAGGATAAGCTACTCAGACACAGGACAAACAAGGGTTTGGTCTAGTGGTAATACCACTAGCCTTGAACCTGGAGGTCTCAAGTTCGAATCCCTTAAGTAGCAACTAATCACAAAAAGTAATATATATCACCCTTATCTAAAAAAAATGCTACTCAGACACAGGAATCCCCGGAAGTCGTCTGTACATCCCTCAAGTAGCACCTAATCACAAAAAGTAATCTACATCACCCTTATCTAAAAAAAAAAAGCTACTCAGACACAGCAATCCCCTGGAAGTCGTCTATATATCCCTTAAGTAGCACCTCATCACAAAAAGTAATCTATATCACCCTTATCTAAAAAAAAGCTACTCAGACACAGGAATCCCCGGAAACCGTCAGATATATCTAAAAAAAAAAGCTACTCAGACACAGGAATCCCCGGAAGCTGTCAGATACAGCATAGTAAAATTTGACCCTTCATAATAAAAGAGAGGGAGAGGAGTTGTATTTAACTGTATTCATTAGTGAGCAGTAGGAGGTTCATGGCTACAGATCCTTAAGGTATACATGAGTGGTGGTAACAGCTGAGGAGCCTGGGCACTAGGTAGTTTCTTCAGTATCTAAAGGTGGAGGATGGCCTCATCGGCAAGTTTACTGGAACTAAACATAGAAAACGTCAAGAGTTGGTTTTCTTCAAAGAAGGATGCACAGACAAAGCTTAGCTGTTGTGTTCAAGTTAACCTTCCCATTTGGTGTTCTTTTGGTTTTCCATTTCGTATATGACATCATCAATGAGACTTCAGATGGAGATATAACAGCAAGATGCTGGGTAACCGTCCAAACTCTTAGCATAAAAAGGAGGAGAGAAAGACAATCTCCTACCGTCCAAGAACAAAGCAACTGAGTTTATAACTTATATTAAACAGAGAGCAAAATAATCACCATGCAAGCGAACTTATTCCCTGATCTTGCACTATTGGCACAAAAGTCTATCTGAATTAGCAATTCAATTACTCCATTCTATCACACCTACAACTTCTTTTAAAATTTTCCTTGTTTTTAGAGATTTTTTTCAAATACAGACTAAGATCACAGAAAAAGTACTATAATATGGGGGAGAAATAGATTGCAGAGATAGTTCAACAGAATGGACCTGCAATGCATCTGGAAAGATGGCCACTTGAATATGTATATCAACTACAGGAAGAAACACACATCCAAAGCAGTACCTAGGCATATAGGGCATTGCACATCTTTACGAATTTCTGGTAGTTCAACAAAGACAAACCTGCAAAAAGATAATTATGCAATTGTTGGATAATTGAATCACATTTGTAAACATTTTGCAGTGGAAAGACTGCAGATAACATATTAATGGCTTCCACTCATCAACCATTTAAAATTTGGGTCCACGGCTCAAGTAGATTAGTTTGATTTAATTGGTAGAGTAACTAACGCAGGTAACATCAATTGTAACATGTGCACACCAAAAGATATACCATGTGTGCAAGCGTGTGATTGCATTGCCATGCACCCTCATATAAAATATTCAAAAAAAAAATAGCGATCATGAAGTTTTTTAAGCATTGCAGATAAATGTTTCATAATATTTAAATTTCCAGCATCCATTGATTTTTTCTCTCCCTCTTTCTTTCTTGTTTTCTACAGAATTCATCTCCGGCCCTTCGTCAATCTTAAGTTGACAGGCTCAAACCCTAAGGAGTTATCAGTTGTGAACAAGATGGCAAGCCCCCCAAATCAACTCAACGAGAAAAAGAAGCAAGATTGCAGTGTAGTTTCATATGAACGACTACCAGAAGACAGTGCAGCTGTAATAGCTGTCCGTACAACATATAAATAAATGTAAACGTCTTCATTTCTTTTGTTTCAGTCTTTGCCCATGCAACCAGTAAGCTTTCAGGTTCTCTTCCATTTTTCGAAGACTCATAATTACCAAGCTAGTAAACAATTCCAAGAACCCTATTAAACTCAACTTATAGTCATACTTGGAAAATCTGATCATCAGGGATAATAAATCTAGTAAACAATTCCAAGAACCCTATTAAACTCAACTCATAGTCATACTTGGAAAATCTGATCATCAGGGATAATAAATCTAGTAAACAATTCCAAGAACCCTAGATAATTGCATCCCCTGTCCTCATCAAGATCCGAATTTAACGAGTAGACTAGACGCGAACATCTAACCCTAATGAGTATGCGCAATAAAAACTTAACCCACCTTGGGTTCGATCTTAGAAGCTAACATCGCCTAATAGAACAAGTAAAGCAGATACAGCCAGAAAGGTTAGATTCACAATGACCCAAATGAAAACATAATCAGTTACGATCTAGAAAGATCATGACAAATTTTAATATCTAAGAGTTGAGCTGCCAGAGGGCTTCATGCAGGATCTTGGCATCATCATCACTACCAGCCTGACAAAATAACCACAACCCTTAACCATAACAGCTTATGTCACTGAACACATTAAATAGCAACAACTAACTGACACTCATCTTGTATTAGTAAACTGGAAAAGTCAGACATACTTGTAAGCGACAGGAAAATAAGCTGCTACCAACTATAACACGCAAGTGAACAGCAACTTCACAGTTTCTTAATAACCACCCCGTGAAACTAAAACTAGGAATAATTAGAATGTGGATGTCATGCATGCATGTGTCGAGATGGCTGTGTTTCACCTTCACTATGTTTCTTCCATCATTCTTAGATTTCATCATGTGGCATATCTCATGTCCATACTCCAAGATCAAGTTACCAAAACCGATAGGTAAAGGAAAACCTCCACATGAGAAAGATCTTATAAAAAGAAGGTATATATTACTTTAGAAACAGAGTATAACCCCAATCAAATTCTTGATGGTTTGATACTTTGATTAAACAGCTCCTGAATGCTGCAAAGTCAATACGATCTATTACAGATAGTCCCAGCAGCATGCATGACTTTCAAGATTAGCAGGGTCAACAAGTGGCAGCAGATTTCTTTAGTTTTACTAGTCACGCCAACTTCACAAAGTCATTCTAGCACAAGATCGAGCATCACTCAATCAAGTAGCAAATGCAAAAAAATAACTTCCCTACTCAGTTTTCAGCCTAGGCACCATCAAACTACCAGCTTCTGAACTAACAATCATGGCAGGAACGACTTTCTCTTTGAACACTCAATTTCACGTTTTGCTGAAGAAATATCAATCAGCCCCAGTAATACGATCACTTCCCACTGAAACAGTTCTCTTGCGCAACTCAAAAGATGGTAATGTTTGGAACCAAGTACAAGCAAAAAGAAAATGGAAAAGAGGAAGAGTGAGATGACTGTACTCAGGCTTATCCCCTTCCTCTTCTTCTTCTTCCTCCTCCTCCTCCTCCGAACTGGATGACTCAGTGGACTCAGAATCTGGAGAGAGAAAAAATGAAAGAACGATCAAATCCCAATTGCCCGCAAATTATAACCCAAATCAATTGCCTAGTCCACCGAATTTCGTCTCCCCAAGTGCAGAAAATAAATCTACGTCAATATGTTGGGGTGACAAATAACATGCTATAACTTCACCTCCTCCAGCGCCGCGGCGGCGTTTCTCTTCCTCCTCTTCGTCTTCTTCGTATTCCTCCTCTTCGTCGTCGTCGTCGGCGTCTTCCTCCTCTCCCGCCGCCCCTTGCTTCTCGTCTCCCTCCTCCGAATCATCTTCGTCTTCGTCCCCGTCGTCTTCCACCTCCTCGCCCGGTTTCAGCTGACTTCGGGCTGGCATAGTATCGTCCCGAGATTGCCTGGGAAATGAGCCGTGATGATGGTGGTTGCCGTTTTGGTGCGGTGGCGACGATGACGACGGGCGTCGAGAAGACTCTCCCCGTTCTTCTCCTCTTCCTGCTTCTTGATCATCATCCTCGGGGTTTGAATCCTCCGGCAGTGGACGCTTCTGTGCAGGCATTGAACTCAAAATTATGTGAAGACAGAGAGCTCAAACTGGAGCGACCGTCTTGCTGTCTAAGTTTTTTTATTCATCGCTAACAGAGAGTAAGACGAGACCGTAGAAGAAGATCGGGGAGGGAGACGGTGCAAGGCAGGAATTTGACCTTTTTGTTTGGTGTAATTAATTTTAATTTTCTTTAATTAATGAATTTATTTCCTTCTCTATTTTAATTTTGCTCATATTAATTTAGGATGGCAATTTGAACTTGCCCGGTATTATCCGGTCTGATCCGAGATGGAGCGGGTATAATCCTATGCAAAGTAGTTTGCGGAGGGGCATGGGTATCTACCTTCGACCCGCTCTGCAGGCTGCCACACTACCCGTTCTTGACCCATTTTATCTCAATTTTTTATAGTATCTATTCATATCTACTTTTCTTCAACTAGTTAAATTTGATCTTTCAACTAGTTAGATTCATTTACCCATTCCATTATCAATATTTTTCATTCATAAAGTGGTTTTCCCTTCATTCTATTGGAAAAAGTAAACTTTTCCGCGAATTTTCCAAATAACATGTAAGAGTGAGTCGACTCGCCCTGCCCGGTATCCGCGCGGGTATTATCCGTTGTTGTGTATAAATTCCCAAAATCATAGTGAAATTAGTTAAATTACTTCTACTCCTAAGATACGAAAGATAAAAGCTACGATAAACTGATTCTTCTTCTTCTTCGATAATAATAACTGAACCACAAAGTACGTATATATATATATTCTACAGTACCCAGGGTGAAATCCGGGATACCGCATACCTTGAGTAAGAAAACGCTATCCATAACTTTGAATTGACTGATCTTTCGGATATGATACTATACCCTAACCCTTAAAGATCAAAATCTAAGTCTTAATTTTCTAAATCTTATACCTCAAGATCAATTTAATTAGAAACAATAATCGACGGTTATGATTCATCCAAATATAGGCAAAAAAATAAATGCACATCTTAGAGTTTATAGTTTATGATTTAGATAATTAGAACCTAGGGTTCACTCATTAAGGGTTATGGTATAGTATCATGCCAAAAAATCCTGCTAATTTGATGTCTAGATAGCGTTTTCATACTCAAGGTATGCGGTGCCCCGAATTTCATCCGGGATACCGTAGAAGGCACCATATGTATATATATATATATATATATATATATAACAAGCGACTCAAAACCCTAAAGACTATACTCGGCCACATACTTGGCCGCCACTCCAACCCCTCTTAGCTACTCCTAATCCAACTCTAATAACTACTATAATTATCCCTAAAAGGCTAAAACTATTAATAATATGACTAATCCAAATAAGAAAAATAAAAATAATGATAATAATTCCATACGCAAAATTTGCCCCGACCCGCAGTTGCATGGGGCATGACATGGGTAATGAGGAACTCGTGCCTAGGGATGACAATGGATCGGGTTGAGCGGGTATATCTAAACCCAAACCCAACCCAACCCGGCGAATAGTGAACGAGTTTAAATCCGAACCCAACCCAAAACCCGTCAACACGTATTTTACCCGCGTTGACCGGGTTGGGTCGGGTAGGGTACCCGTGGGTTCGGGTTTTGTTGCCATCTCTACCCGCGCCGCCACCACCCCCCCCCCCCCCCACCACCCCACAATTGCCATCACTAATTTTGTGTCTAATCCATTCGTTGGGATGTTCTTTGAACTAAGAGGTGGAAATTGGGGCAGATGTGGTTACTTACCTCATATTTTGAAGTTAACCACACTCACAATTTTAGAATAATGCTACCTACAAACTGCACCGTCATTAGCCACTACGGTTTGGTGAGGTTTGATTACCCACAAAAATTTCATTTGTTGAATATGGTAATTAATATTGATGTTGTATTTCTTCTCACACAAGACATAAAAAAAAGTTACTAAAGTGTTAAATATACTATAAATTTATTATTCCCCTCTTTATTGAATTGATTAATTAATCCGACTACTTTTATCGACTTGGTACTGTTTTATAAAATAAACATATCCCGCATGGACACTACTTATTTGATAAAAATATCACACATGGATACTGCTTATTGTATTGGTTTTGTTTTATAAAATAAGTGTGTGTTCGATTTTGGTGACTACTTTGATTTTCAGCCTTTCACTTTTCACATACTGTAATATTATAAAGTATTATTAACAAATAAATATAATTAGACAGGTTAATGTGGGTTAACCGAAATGGATAGTAGTTAATCACTAACCATAAAAGTACTATTTTGCTAATCTTACCCAACAAATTATCCACAATTGTGGGTATGGTTATCCACAAAGTGTGTGGTTTGATTAGTTTGCGGGTTACCCGTAACCCACAAACCAAACTGAACACCCCTAATTTGAACACAGTGGTGTAGCCAGAATTTTACATTATGAGGGCCCGACTTAACAATTTAAATAGATTTAGTGATTTCTAACAATGAACCACAACGTGTTTTTATATTTTGAAATTTTGTAAAATACATTCATCATCCAAATCATAAAAATATCACTCTCAATGTATCCTACCAAAAAATCATTCATGATGTTATCACTCATTCGACTTCGAAGAGTGTTCTTCGCATAACTCATTATAAAAAATACTCTTTCAACACTTGCAGTGACAACTGGTAGCAACAATGCTAGCTTGACAAGCATATGTACATATGAAAATCCAAGATGCCTCTTTGTATCAACCATTTTCCTATAAAGCTCAACAATTCCCTTAATGAGCATGTCATCTCTCTTCATCTCATAAATATAACTATCTAGTTGAGGATCAAGATGTAATAATATCTTGTTAAGAGAACTCATTTGGATAAAAGGTAGCAAGCTTCAACAACTTCTCCTTGTTAAAGTCAACAAATGAAGTATCTAGATTTAAACAAGCCACACAATATAGCAATTCAATGTTAACCTCATCATAACAAACTTTAAGCTCTTGTAATCGCATATCCAAAACTGTATAAAACAATTCAACTTGATAATGATGTAGATTGGTGACATGTTGAGCATTTTATCCTTGGTCTTCCAAAAGGAATGTATGAATTATCCATTCTAGAAACATGAAGACATTCTTTGTTGTAAAAAAGAAACAACACTATGAAGAAGAGGCCCCCGTCCATTATCTCTCATGTCTTGTAATCTAAACTTTTTCCATGAATAAAGTGCATATCATTCACTATATCTTGGTCTTTTCTTTTCAATGCCACAAAAAAATTCATCGGTGATTGCAAGTACGCTAATCATCATTTTCAAGATGAACCCAAAGAGAAAAGTTTGAGCTAACATGAGCATGTTAGATGCATCACCTTTTTTTATGAAAAAGGAGATTTTATTTCATCAAATACAATCATCAAGAGTAAAGCCACAAAACCAGAACCCTATACAGATTAGAACTTGCCTGAAAAACTATAAAACCAAACCATTAAGCCTCGAAAAGAAAATAGAGAATAACATATTCAAAAGAAAAAGCTATACACATCTGTATGCTACAAGTAAGGGCTTACTACTACTGTTGCTGCAAATTCAGGATTTCCACATTCAGATCATCCAAGAACTTCCGCATTTTCTTAAGTTACTCATCAAAAGAGAGACTCTTCTTGCCATATAACCGGCAACAACGCTCCCTTCAAAATTCGCTAATAATCAAACACCACATCAGACAACCAACCTTACATTTTCCCAGCTTATTGATAGCAACCTCCAAACTTTCCTGCCATCCACCTGAAGGACAGTACCCCATGTTCGTTGGAAAGAATTGCAAGCAAGTATGATTATAGCAGCACTAAGAGAAGATATGATCATGACTTTCAAGTAGATTAAAGCAAAGAGGGCAAATCCCATCAACTTCAGGCTTCCACTTCTTGATTTTATCTAGGGGTGAACAAACACACCCGTAAACCGACTCACCCGTCCAAACAGACCCAACCCACCCGTTTATCGCTAAAACGAAGGTTTTGGGTTGGGTGAGAGTTTTCTTTTGTATAACCCGCCTCTTTTGGGTTGGGTTTGGATTTTGGATTACACAACCCGTAAAACCCAACCCAACCTGTGTTTCAACTAATGGTAGGAGTTCGTATCCAAAAAATATTTATGTCGTATATAGCCATACTTATGAGAAAATTAAGATATTTTGTCATGTTTTTCTCTCATGGTCTCCCTAATCTAATGCATTCTTCGGCTTAAAGTTTAGACATAAATTTAATATAGCTATGATTTCACGTAATCATTTTTCTTGTGTACAATTTTAATATAATAAAATATTATGGGTGCATTCGTTTATAACCTTTTTAGCCTATTTCAACAAATATCATGAAAAAAACTAGACATATGTTGAAGTAAATCACATTTTATTAAAATTCAAACAACAGTTGTGAATTTTGATACATTTCACCTCGGTTTATTCGTTTGAAACTTTAATTAGTTATAAAATATTTTTATGGTGTAGAATAATCACATATTTTGTGTTGAGTTGAGTTTTTTCTTAAAAATATCGTCAATCCGACCCAACCCAATAAGAAACTAACCGTAGGGTTTAAATTTTTTTGAGTGGGTTTGGGTTTAATATTTCCCAACCGTAATGCATTGGTCCGGTGATTAAAATGGCTAATCCCGGACCACCCTACCCATGTACACCCCTAATTTTATCAAGGGTATTGATTCTATCAATCAGAACAAGCCAAGCTATTAGAGAGTTCCGAGGGACCTGAAGTCGCCCCCAGAGTAACTTGCATCTAGTCTTCAACTCTCCCCTCGATCTAATGTGCTCCCAAATCTACTTGATTCGATACTTATCCATAAGAACATCTTTCCACAAAATCCCTTGATCTGAGCTCTGAAACTGACCTGCAACCAAAGAGAGAGTTTGTAGAATCCTATTCCAAGCCCAAGCCCATGACCCTGAAATCTTATTATCCCAGATTGACAGATTCCTCAATCGGTATTCTTTTAACCATGCAATCCACAATGTATCTAGATCAGACAACACAACCCATATATGTCTAATTATACATGCAGTGTTCCAGCCAGGTAGACTTCGTTACCTTGCCTGCGGGAAGTGGCTGGGATCGTAGGGCGAGGGAGACCAAGGGGAGCGATAAGAGGAGGGAGGTCATAAGTTAGGGATGACTGATTTTTTTTTCTTCATTTTATTAATTCGTTGATATATTTTAAATTAAAAACAGAAAATGATGGTACGCTGACTGCCACGTGGGATGCCAACTTAGCATTACTAACGAAAAAGTTGACGGTAAGTTAACGTTTGGCTAATTATTAGTAATTCAATCGGTTTGGCTAATAAATAAGATTGCAAAAAAGATTTGGCTAATAATTAATATTTGCAAGCTACTTATAAGTTATATCCCATTTATATAGTATCATTAACAAAACCATTTGTATGTAACTTTCATGATTCTATTGCCTATATCTATTGCTCAAATCATAGCATTAGAACGCTAGTTTGGTTTTGGTGATAGTTAAATTGATGGATTGTCATCAATGCATGTATATTAATATGCATGTATATAAAGAAAATTGGTGTTTGTAGTTTACATCGTTTGATTTTTGTGATAGTTATTATAGTATTTAAACAAGTGATATTACTTTCTGGATGAAATGTCACTTTTACCCTTTGCTTTTAATATAAAAAAGTAACATACATGAAAAGGTAGGGACATAGTTGGAAGAAAAAATAACACAACAATCTCCACCAAAATCTCCACCAAACAATCTCACTAAAAACTTGAGATTTAACTATCACTCATTTTGAGTGATAGTTTGTGTCAAATCAAGCAAACTTGTTTGTGCCAAAAATTCAAAAAAACAATGCATTGTGAACAATACATGCATTGTAACTATCTCCACCAAACAATCACGAAAACCAAACGAGGGGTTCGTTTGGTTTTGGTGATAGTTAAATTGATGGATTGTCATCAATGCATGTATATAAGAAAATTGGTGTATTGTAGTTTACATCGTTTGGTTTTTGTGATAGTTATTATAGTATTTAAACAAATTATATTACTTTTTGGATGAAATGTCACTTTTACCCTTTGCTTTTTATATAAAAAAGGGGTTAATTGCATGGTTGATCACTGAGATTATAAAAAACGTTCATGTTTGGTCACTCGAAATATTTAAATCCATTCGTGGTGACTAACTTTACATTTTTGTTTCATCATTAGTCACTCTCTGTCCAACTCCGTTAACTTTCTCCTACGTGGCGGTCAACTTTAATAGTTGACCGTTAAATAAATGACATGGCATTTAAAAAATAAAAAATATATTTTTTAATTATTTAACAATTCCACCTCACAACTACTTTTCACTTATCTCATATTAAGGGAAAAATAATCCCTAATTCATTTTCTGCAGCGGCCTCTTTCTCCCTATTCACTCGTCGCCGCCGCCAGCAACACCCAACCTTCTAGGGGTGGGCAGCAGGAAACGAGTATTTGGGTATACTCATACCCGTTCCCCTTTTTTTAGGGTTTCGTGTACCCAAATACCTGTTTTATTTATTGCGGGATGAGACTTGGGATTGTAAATTTCAACAATAGGTACCCGCGGGTTACCCGCTAATACTCATTTGGGTAATACATGTACCCGTTATACCCGTTACAACAATACTGATAGTCTGGCCATTTATCCTAACCTTGAATTAATGAATTCTTCAGTGTCTCTCGTCGTGCCTTCCCTTTTCGGCTGCGATCGGAGAACTTTTTGTTTTTGAGTTGTTTCCCTTTCGTTGCTGCAGGGATGAATGCTTACTTTCATTCTAGTTTATTGAGTGTTTTGGCAGGGGTGTCCACCACGCTTGCCTTAGCTTTTTCGATGCCCAATTCTTAGATTGAGATTTCTTTTTGTTTCAATTGTTTTTCTTCTCATTGCCTCGGGTGTGCAGGGGCTTCCCGGGTTAAACGGATGGACAACAATGCATTGTTCTTTTCCCCCCAGGTTAAACGGGTATAAACGGGAATAAACGGGTATAAACGGGAATAAACGGGTACTCGTTATCTGTCCCGTACGGGTAACGGGTACCCGTCAATCCTTAAGGGTTTGGGATATGGGATGGACTTTGTCCTCCAAACGGGAATGGGTACCCGTTTCAAACGGGACGGGTATCCCGTCCGGTCCCGTTGCCCACCCCTACAACCTTCGTCCTCCGACCAATATGACTCCCAACCTTCCTCCTCCGACTATGTCCACTGCCGTCGTCAACATTCACCTCCACAACATCTTCTTCCTTTCTTGCCGTGGTTGGTTCGCGAGAAGCTGGAGTTTCAGCAAAGAGCTGGCGAATATGGGTTCGTGAAGAGGGAGCCTAAAAATTGAGTTATGGATCTACCGTCTCTTATCAGTGTCGATCTTCCCTTGAATCAGGAGTCGCCGATGAGACCATACATCCAAGAATCGAGAGCTATCGTGGGTCTATACTTTTGCATCCAAGATTTGGGAGTCGTCGTTGAGATTGAGACATAGGAAGAAGAAGCGTTCGATTTTTTTGGGAATGATGATTGATGTTGGCTTGGGATTTTTGGGGATAGGGTTGCGATTCTGGGGATGGCGTCGAGGATGGAGACTAGAGGAAGAAGAAGCGTCCCACTTCTCTTCCAAGCTCGCCGGCGCAAAAGCCCCAAATATGAAGATGTCTTCGCCGACGATTCCTCTCTCTTTCTCGCCAATTCCGGCGGCGAAATAGGTGGATTGGCTTGGCTTGCACCGCCTTCAACTCCCATCAACCCACCAATTTGCGACTCCCGCGGGCATGGATCCCAATCGCAACTCCAGGAAGCAGAGGAGGGCCAGGATGCTACTCTAGAGGAAAATCTCGTCGCCGTCAGCGACCGCGACGGAGAGGAGGAGGAGGTGGTGGAGTCTGTGAAGAGACGTATCACACATCTTAAGTTTTTTTTTAGTTTTAATAGCGGTGAAACTGATGTAGAAAATTTAAAAAATTAAAATTTATTTTTATTAATTTTTTGTTTGCCACGTCACTCTTTTAACGGTTAACTATAAAAGTTCACTGCCACATCAGAAAAAATTAACGGAGTTGGACGGAGAGTGACCAAACTTGTACAGTTGAACTAATTTTAGTAACCACGAATTGATTTAAATATTTTGAGTGACCAAACATGAACGTTTTTTGTAATTTCAGTGACCAACCATGTAATTAACCCTATAAAAAAAGTAACATACATGAGAATGTAGGGATATAGTTGGAATAAAAATAACACAACAATCTCCACCAAACAATCTCAATAATATTACAAAAAACTTGAGATTTAACTATTACTCATTTTGAGCGATAGTTTGTGTTACATCAATCAAACAATGCATGTATTGTTTGTTAAAAAAAAATTAAAAAAAGGCATTGTTAACAATACATGTATTATAACTATCCAATCAAACAATCACCAAAACTAGCGTGGTAATATTCCAAAACTTGGGCCATGCTATTTCTCAGTATATTTCTTTTGCTTCTTACGTGTCGTTTCGAAACGCAAATCGAAAGACGGAAGAATCAACGGCACGTAAAGCGGTCCACCCGCCGGAATAAAGCATTCTCACCTCGCTACCTCAGTCATCTCTCTCGCACACATAATTACCATTTCCAGATTTCCTTACTCATAGGTTCCATCCAAAAAGGCGCTCTCTCGCGCACACACAACCTTCCTCTTTCATCTGCAATGGAGGTAGGGTTTCCGGCAATTTGACAAATGGCGCTGCCACACTTCAATCTGACGCAAATTCCTCCCCCCACTTCTTGCTGCTGCTGCCGGTGTAAACATTTTCAACTTCCGCGTGGCAATGCACCCCCGAAGCATTCCCTTCTCGTGGGCTTTGCTCGCTGCCCGGTGATTTCCTTCCCTGCCGGGCTTGTGGGTTTCCTCTCTGGTTCCATTTCGACGGGTTTGAGAAAGAGACTTGTTACTGTCTCGCCGTGGATACTGAACGCTGCCACTCCAACTTGCGTCCTAGATAACGCCACCGTTCCGGCCGCCGCCACCGTGGAAATCAACGTCACCTGCTATCAGGTTGTTTCTCTCTCTGATTTCCGGCCGGTTTGGTTTACATTTTTAGCATTGCAGTGAAGCGAGAGAGTGATTTCGACGAAGTAGTCATTTCGAAATAGAATTTGAATTCATGTACCTATGTCTAGCTCTGTTGTGGGAATCAATTGGGAGAAATTTCTGGTATTTCAGACATTATGCATCATCTAAAATGCTGTAGAAATGATTTGATTTGGATTCAAAGCAGCTCAATTGAAGGCTTTGCCGCCGATCAGAATGAAAGGGCAGAAGGAATAATTAAAGTCAAAAGGATTCTAGATGTATGTGACCAATGCGTTTGCAGAATCACATCTATAATTAACTTCTAAAAGTGCTTGTAGCTCTTGTTACTTTGGTATCAGCTAGCTTGTTGGTTGGCTACTAACCTTTAGATAATTGGTAATCTGCAGCTAGTTGGTCTTCGTGATCAAGCAGAGAAAGACGAGGTAGTGAAGTCAGTGATCCAATTGAAAAGCGCTGAGGTAGAAGATGGATATACAATGGATGCCATCATGTCTCGCAAGGTGGATGTTCCTCAGTAATTTTTTATTTTTATAAATATTATTTTCCTTTTTTGTTCAAAAGTCGCATTCGCAGTGGAGGACAGTTGTGGCCTTCCTAATTTCCCTTGTATTCTGTTATGTATGCAGGATCTTTTGATGGATGTGAGGGACAAGGTTCTTTTTGAACCTGAATATGCTGGAAACGTGAGAGATAAGATTCCCCCCAAGTCTTCTCTATACATTCCATTGACCTGGTTGCCTGGTGCTCTTTGCCTTCTTCAAGAGGTATAACTTATATCTCCTGTACTATTGTCTGAAGATTAGAAATTCCCAATTTTTCAGGTATCCTAGTTCCCACCGTCTTCCAGAATAACTGCTATATATGTTCTTAATCAATTCATGGAATTGCATTGTTGTCAAACAACTTGGCTCCAGCTGTAAATCTTTTGGTATATATGTCATTTACAGGTTGGTGAAGAGAAGTTAGTGCTTGATATTGGCAGAAAGGCTATCCAGAAGCCAGATGCTAAGCCTTATATCCATGACATACTTCTATCAATGGCACTGGCAGAAGTAAGTACTGAACTGATAGATTCATTGGTAATCAGCAGAACTTTATTAGGACACTTTTTCTTATGACTGCGGCTTTTTTTTTTACAGTGTGAAATTGCAAAAATTAGTTTTGAGAACAATAAGATATCCCTTGGATTTGAAGCTCTAGCCTGTGCTCAGAGTCTTCTTAGGAGTAAGATCTCCCTTGGGAAGATGGCTTTGCTGGCCCAGGTAAGGCTTACTCTATAACCTTTACTTCTTTGATGTCTAGCTCTATGTTCTGCATTTGGAAGCCAACTTGTACTGAAGGATGACATAAATGGCGATGAAAGTTAGGCTCTCCAGTTCTTAGAGACATTTCTTCTTCCCTTTCTTTGTAATGGTTTTTGTCTTCTATTTTCAGATAGAAGAATCTATGGAGGAGCTGGCACCTGCTTGCACACTTGAGATATTAAGCATGCCTCATTCTCCTGAAAATCCTGAAAAGCGACGAGGAGCAATAGCAGCTTTACGTGAGTTACTCAGACAGGGACTTGATGCGGAAATGTCATGTAGAGTCCAAGACTGGCCTTGCTTTCTGATTCAAGCACTTAATCGGCTCATGGCCACTGAAATAGTCGATCTTCTTCCTTGGGATGATTTAGCCCTTATTCGGAGAAACAAGAAATCACTTGAATCACATACTCAGAGGGCTGTTATTGACTTCAATTGTTTCTATGTGGCATTGATAGCTCACATTGCTCTGGGTTTCTCTAGCAAGCAGACAAAATTGGTAGAAACATTTTATTTCATCTAATGTAGCCTTGCTAAGTTTTATTTTTCTTCTGTGTTGACCTTGATCCTGTCCTTTAGATCAACAGAGCAAAAGATATATGTGGCACTCTGATAGCATCGGAAGGTATTGATCTAAAATTGGAGGAAGCATTTTGCTTGTTTCTTTTGGGGGAGGTATGTTTCAATTTGTTTCCACAATTTGCTACACTGTTCTGTTAAACAGCATTCTCACATTTTGTAGAATCTTCTGACCTTTTCAGTTTCTTTTCCTTGTTTGCTCATCCCTGTCTTTTTATGACTCCTGATATGTGCTCATAATTGTCAGGACAATGAGGCCCAGGTTATTGAGAAGCTTCAACAGGTGGAGTCGAATGTGAACCCCGCACCACGAATTTTGATCTATGGGAAGGATAAGAACGTCGCAACTTCTGTCAAGTCGCCTGTGGTAAGTCTTTGTTATAGGTTAAATTTATGTACTCTTTATCTCTTCATCAACCTGAGGGTTTCTTTTCTATAACATATCGAAGCTCAACTTAGTTTGAACTTTGAACCAAAGGTATGTTTCAATAGGTTTGCCTCATCAAAATCTAGGGGGTGAATGTTTTTAAGTGCCAGCTTCGGCTAAGGCATTTTCAGATTCTTTGTAGGACTATCACTGTATGCTAGGTAGTTCAGAAATTCCATTGGTTGGAGTTCTAGGGGAAGGGCTGAAGTGGATACTTTCAAATGTTTTATGAAGACTTCAGCTCTTTGAGGATTTCCTTAGAAAATTGACTTAACCTCATTGCAGTCATCATCTCGTTTTTGGTAGCGTACTAGGGTTGCATCCTTGAATTGATGGATGAGTTGAGCATTCATGTGTGCTTGCGTCATACTTTTAAATTATGCACTAGAAGATAGAATTAGGTTACAGTTCTGCAAAAGCATTTTTTTTCTTCTTGATGCCTTATTTGAGCAATTTATTTGCTTTCTTATGTCAGAAATCCTGCTGAACTTGACCAGGAAACATGGCTGAAGGACTCTGTGCTTGCTGCGTTTTCAGATACAAGAGATTGTTCACCATCACTGGTGAGTACTACCATAACCGATCAACTAATTGGAAGAAGAAAAAAGAGGATTGTTGGCTAACTTTTGGCCTTCCAGGTAGACTTTTTCTCTGGAGGAAGCAAATTACCTTCTCTTTCAACCAAATGGGTTACTGGTCAAAGGCCTTTCTCAGATTTTGCATCAGAACGAATCAATCATGGTGGGGGGTCTCTCTCATTGAAGACCTCTTCTCAACACCTTGGATCAGCTATGAAGAAGTTGGCTCTTGTGGATTTGCAGACCTCATTGATGTCTGACAAGAGTGATGATCGAGCCAGTGAGGACCAACCACCTGTTCAGCTGAAAAGGAATTTGGACATGCGGGATAATGGAAATTGGGAAAGTTGGCCGTCGTATGGGAATGTGGTTGGAAAGTTCATATTTGTTGTAGTATTAGGGTGCATGACTTTTATCACCTCCAAGTTGTCTTACAGGAGTCTAAGGTCTCCTACGTTTGCTTTCAATAAGCATATTGCTGATACCACTTTCCATAGTGGCACCATGGATTTTTCTCATGATACCATTGGAGGAAGTGGTATCGGTGACAGAATGAAAAAGCTATCAGCAATTGTCAAAACAAAATTCTACACACTGCCACGACATAGTATATCACAAAATTTGGGGCTGACCACTAGCAGAAAGTCTTCTACAAGAGCAGTGTCAAGGAAGCAGATGCCAGTTGAAGAAGCTGAAGCTCTGATTAGGCAATGGCAAACTATTAAAGCTGAAGCTTTGGGTCCCGAACATCAAATCCAGAGCCTATCTGAACTACTTGCCGAGTCAATGCTTGATCAGGTCAATCAAACCGTGATAGTACATTTGTTGCAACACATACAAAATATTGGAACTGAATAGCTTCCATTGTTATTGATTCTGCAATCACCAGTCGGGTATCACTAACTTATATTGTTCCGATTTGCAGTGGCAAGAATTGGCTGATGCAGCTCACTCCGAGTCATGCTATTGGAGATTTCTTTTGTTAGACCTGTCCATTGTAAAAGCTGATGTTGTTTCTGATGGATTTGGGATGGAGACGGCGGAAATCGAAGCTCTTCTCGAGGAAGCAGCTGAGCTTGTTGATGAATCTCAGCAGAAGAAGAACCCAAACTATCACAGGTAAAATATAGCGCCGTGATCTGATTGTTCATCGGAATAGGTAGAGACGAAGTACTGAATTTTGTCCAAACAAAAAAAGGCTAAGTGACTGGATTGAGCAGTGGTGGATTATCAAATTTGATCTAATGATTAAAGTTCTTTGCAGCAAGTACAAAATTCGGTATGCATTGAAGAGGCAAGACGATGGATCATGGCGGTTCTGCAAATGCGAGATTCAATCCCCATCATGATGTCTCTGGATCACAAATCGGGGAAAGCAGCAATGCAGTAACGAGTATTTGATCCCCCTACAGGCACCGATTAGGGTTCTTCTCCAATCACGGGAACAAGGATTAGGTTAGAGCATCTCTAACTAGCTGTGGTCTAAGTGTTAGCATTGCATAGTGATGTTGATTTGATTGATATTCGATTTGATTGACATGCATTGCTGCAGCCTGCATGCATGCACTGATTCTGAATGTAAACTAAAGGCAAAGGTGGCTGGAGAGGTAGTAGTAGCTTGCTCTTAGAAATAACATGTAGGCAGACAGGCTTAGCCTTGGGGAAATGAAACTTAGTTTTCCAATTTCCGGTTTTATCAGTGAGGCAATTGTGAGATTATTGCCAACAATTATTTAAACCGTCGCTAACCGGTATCTTAATCCAGCTGCAAACGGACATATAGTACCATTTTTTATTATCAACATGTGAGATTGTCCCCAGGAGCAACACCGAGTTGGCGGCAATACTCGGTGTAAAAATCGGCACGGCGTTGCACGGTGGCGGAATTACTTCCGTCGCACTCCAAATCGCCATTGATGGCCCTGGTGGTGGCCCCAAATCCCTGGTCCATAACCGGCTGGACGTTGTTGGTCCAGAACCACAGAGCCGTCTTGAATGATATTTCTGGATCATTCGCCACCGTTTCAGGGGAGTTGAGTCCGTCGAATCCGATCTGCTCTCCGGCGGGGCCGTAGTTGAAGTTCCAGGACAGCTGGAGCGGACCCCGGCCGTAGTAACCCTTGCTTGGATTGCAAGGAAACTGGGTATTCTCCTCCTCGCAGTAGTCCTTGGATGGCCCATCAATCTCCTCTGTGTAACAGAAGTCTGCAAAAGTACAGCTGTCGTCAGCATAGTCAGGTGACAGAGTGAAAGACTCTGCCAAAGGACTCAAAACAGAGTTAAAAAGAAAAAGAAAGAAAACTTGCTTCCTGTCTCGTGGGTGGCGTGGGCAAAGAAGGCAGCTATTTCGCGCCTGGAGTCGTCGTCGGATCCGAGCCGGGCGAAGCCTTGGTAGGACCCGAGTGCGCGCAAGAAGGCGTCGCGAGAGTAGAAGCTCCTCCCTGCGCAGTCGCCGTCGGACTGGTCGATGATGCCGTTGAAGAATTCAGGGGTGACGATGTCGGCAACCTGAATGTCGTTTCTGTTGCAGGGGCCGCTTTGGCAGCCTGAGCCGCAGTGGTCGGGGCTGGTTCCACAGTAGCCCCATTTGCTGCAGCACTCGTCGGATGCGCAGCCGCAGTCTTGAGCTACCACGGCGGAGGCCAGAGCTCCGACGAGGAAAACAGAGAGGAGGAGTTTGGGAGTGATGGTAAGAGTGGGTGGAGGCATTGTCAGCAGAGTGGGTTTTGGGTGAGTTTGGGGAATTAGGCAGGGGATTTGTTTTATAGCAAGATGGAAGACTGACTGGGTCATATTGAGGTTGCTCTCTGCCTCTGAATATTTTTTTGGGTAGAAGATGGTTCTTTGTGGCGCATTAACAAAATCAAGTGGGTGTGGAAAAAGCAAAACAGAGACCTTGAACTTGACTCGTTTCATTTTATATGGTGGGATTCTTTGGAATTTCCAAGTTCTCTATTTCAGAGACAGTGACTGTATCACTTGTTAGATTTCCTCACCGGAGAGAATCGGAGGGAGAAGCTCTGGCTCGTTAACATCGGCGATTGCCGCCTTTAGCTTACTGGACTAAATTATCTAGTTTGTCTTTTTCTTCTTCCAATTTTGGAGCTCTACTTTTTTTTGTTCTTTGTTCGTAGCCCCCTGTTGCAGGGTTAAAAAGAAACTGTCCTGGTTATAGACCTGGCAAATTACAACTCGATTCGTTGATCCGACCCAAAATCGTATAAAAAGTAAAAAATTTTATAACTCGAAATCCGACCCGAACCCTTGATTTTTTTGGTCGGGTTGGGTGGGTTAGCGGGTCAACCCATTAGACCCGTTCAATTTTATATATCACTCACAAAATGATAAAATCACTTATAAATTGGTGAGATGTTAAAAAAAAAACACAAGCATTTAAATGACAAGTTTGGAGTTTAAAGATAATAAAATATCATGTGTTTCTTGTAGTAGTATTACTATTGTCTTGTGATTGTTTTTTTTTAGGATTTGCGCAATTTGTATTTCATTTTATTAGAATGGGAGGATTTGAGAATATGTTAATTGACATGTGTTAGGGTTTAGGTAAACTATTGTCGTGCATATGAAATGGTATCTAAAAATATCAAATTTAGATATTTGTACCCTATCGAAGTAAGGAAAATTTGTGTTTTTTGAGAAAATATGAAGCATGTATAATATTGTTTCTGAGAGCGCTCATAACCCGACTCGAAACCGAATGGGTTAGATCAATATTTGACCTGAAATAAGCTAGTTTTTGCGTGATCGCTGGCCAATTTGCGTGAATAAGAACGTTTCACAATTTGATGTGTATGTATTGTTGAACTTGTTTCCTAAAGCATTAGACCATTAGCTCAAGTATTATTAATCCTTCTTAAGTTAATGGTTAGCTAAAATTTCTTGAAAATGATACTACCGGTCTTAACAAGTTTCATACGTTATTAAATTGATTTGTAGACGACAAAAGAGATTATTTGAAAAATTATGATACTCATATCCGATAATTGTCATGTTGTTTGAATGGTTGGATATTTACGTGAACAAGATAGTTTTGAAGTGAATGACTATCAGTTTGCGTGAATAACAAACAATTTGCGTGAACAAAATAGTTTTGACGGGTTTGTTCATAGCCATTGTAGCTTTCAACAAAATCATTTAGGGTAAAGACCATAGAGTCATCGTAAAATATATATATATATATATATATATATATATATATATATATATAAGGTACCATATATATATATATATATATATATATATATATATATATTTAGAGTATAAGGTGATTAGTCAAAATCATAACGGATCAAGTTTTTTATTCATATATGTTCATGAATCAGACCATTAGGGGTTTAGGGTATAGACTATAGAGTCGGATTAGATTATATGTTACCGAGTAGAGTTACAATTAAAGTCACAACAATGTGACTAAAATTTATAGTTTAGGGTAATACAACAAATCATACCAATCTAGCTAAACCAACATTTTCTCTACAAAAATTTATATGAACAATTCCACGTGTTATAAAATAATTAAAAAAATTAGTATGAATTGAAAATTCACCCAAAAATATCAGTACAACACCATTCCTGATCTGCCCGCCCGCAACTTGCCTGATTGAAAATTCACCCCAAACTAACTCGATGCGCTGAACCAAACAACCCGCAACCGACCCGCCCGCAACCTACCTCACCCAAAACCCGATGAACCTGAAACCCGATTTGCCCGCAACTCGTTTGAACCCAAATCTGATGAACCCGAACCCAATAAACCCGCAACCCGACCAACCCATAACCCGATTGAACCCAATCTGAACCCTCTCGATTGACACCTCTACCCGTAACCGGAGTCCCCAAACCGGAATTACCAAACCCGACCCGATTGTCAGGTCTAGTCCTGGTAGCCATTTGTAACCCCTTTATTTTTCGGCCAGAACAACTTGTTGATATTCAATGGATTGCATCTGAATTCTTTGCACAATAATTAATAATACGGGTTCAAACAAAGTTTGAATAAGAGTGTTTGATACTTGTGATGATTGAGAAAACTAAGTTAAATTATTCTAAGGGTCGTTTGAATGGATTAATTGGCAATATGGTATTTGTAGAGACAAATAACTCATTTTTTTAAGGTTTGTGGTATTTAGCAAAATTGAAAGTTAAATTATCATGTTTGGATGAACCAAAACGCATGAGTTATTTACATGTGGTATTTGGTAACATAAAGTGTTGAAATACCATATTATCCTCAACACTTTGGTTTTATTTCACAATTTGTATTTGGAAACAAGAAGCCTTTGTAAACTTTCTCAAGTAACAATCAATCTCACAATAAAAACCACATCAATTCACCTATAATGAGAGGAAGAAACTCTCAGCTCTTTATTGTAATTACATATCCCCTCAATCAACCACAAACATTACATATTGAATATAGTAAACTTGCCAAAAAAACTCACCACAAAACCAGCAGAGCAATACATTACGAGCCCAAATTGGACCATCCAACAACAGCACACCAGCAGCAGCTTACCATCGACACCTGCAAAAATAAAACCAAACAACTTGGCTTAATGACATTAATTACTTGCTAAAAACATCACATTACATATATTTATAATAATATGCTCTTGCGGGGAATAATAAGAACACGATATGATAAAAACATAAATTCAATCTCTATATACACAAGCATTCATTTCAAAACATATCCCTAAAACTAGATGATGTTTTAGCTAAAGACAATTGCATCCCAAACCCACTACATAAACATGTATTAGCAGAGAAATGACAGTGGGAGCAAAAGTTCGAAGTAGGCAGCTATTCTAATACATTCCACAAAGAAAACATGTATTAGCATAGAAATGCCATCTTCAATTTGTTATCCGAACTAATTTGTTTACCCCTAAGAATGACAGTTCTGCATTCAGCGGCAGCAAGCAAGACAACCATAGCATCCTCTCGTCTTCTTCCTTCTGCAGCTTTCTAGAAAGTACAAGCTAGCAGAGAAATGATAAAGTTTAACATGTGGTATCAAATGTTGGACCCTTTACAATCTTCGTTTCTCCTATTTATAGTCAATAGGTGTAAATGCCTTGTTAACTGCTAGTTGGCCAGTTGCTCCAACCGTCTCGGGGACCACTCACTTCGTCTTGGCAATCGTTACCTTGTCAGATGCTCCGACCACCTCAGGGACCCATTGTCATCGCCTAGATGACAGTTGGCATCCTCTTGATGGCCTTGACGTTGTAGTTAAAAGTCCATGTCAAAGGTACCTTTTAATGCAAAGTTCAAGCTTAAATAGGGTGTTAATCTAAGCAATTGGAGAGGATTAGTTCAAAGAGAGGAAGAGATTATATACAGAATAAATGAAGAACATATGCCTAATGTGATGGAAACCCAATTCTTGGGATTTATCATAATAATTATTATTACTATAATTATGATATTATTAGATATGGTAGTAGTCATTGAGTCATATTAGGTTTTCCGGTCCTTTAGCTATAAATATGTACGTTGGGTCTTTTGTTCAATTAAGCAGAAATCAGTTAAAGAATTATCTTCTTAAACCCTAAGCTTTCCCTACCTCCTAATTTCTCTTCTTCCCTAGTCTAAAGCTTCGGCTGATTCTTATTCTGTTCTTCCTTCCCTAATTCCCTATCCTAATCCCTAATTCGGTTCGTATAAACCCTAATCCCAAATATCAAAGCCGATAGAAATCATGTTTCTATCATTTGGTATCAGAGCCATGGTCACAGATTTGAGTTCATCACAATTCTCACCAGGAAATTGTTATCAGAAACTCTATCACGCGTTTGAAGCTCTCCAAGCCAGTCTAGTAAAATATGAAGCTAGCATGAAAGCATATGAAGCTAGAAGGGAAGCTCACGACAACTATATGATGGCAGGCCTGAAAGAACTTCTAGCCAAACTCGAGCGCCGCGTTACTCACCGCCGCGCGAGCCGCAACTAGCCAGAGTCGACGTCGAATGATTCAGCAGCATCAGCCACCATTGAAGACGCTCCTGATGTCGTGGAGTTTGCTCCAGTCGCCGCCATCAAGGAGCAGAGAAAAATAGTTCCTGTTGTGCCTCAAACCAACGTTACCGAGGAGGAAGAGGCGGCGAAGAGCTACTGGGGGGTCTCGCCGGTGAATAGCACAATGTCGAAGAAAGAAGCAAAGGTGATAATGGGTGAGCGATCCCTAGCGGCTTCGGGTGCTGCATCAAGCGCTGAGGAGCCTGCATCGGATCTGGAATGGGAGAAGGTAAATTCCAGAACTAACCCAATCCCATTAGAAATTCCAATCGATGGTTGGAAATTCAGGAAGAAGAAGAAGGGAGGCAGCAGTGAGTTTCCTCCCTCGCCGTCGAAGAGAGAGAAGATGAAGGGTGGCAACGTATTCCCTTCTTGCACGGTTCGAGGATCCGGCGGGGGAATCTGGTCGACGATCGCGAACGGAGAAGATGCGCCGCGGCCGCCGGCAGATGCAGTCGCGGCGATGGGAACTAGGCAGGCTGTTGTCTCGCCGTCGGGGATGGAGGAGAAGAAGGTTCCGCCGGAGCCACGTTTGGGTAAACGAGAGCCGATCGTGGCAACGTCGACGGGAAGACGGTTGATGGTGGAAATGGGAGGCGTGTTCAGGGAGACGAAGGTCGAGGTGGAGAAAGACTCACCGCCGACAATGGAGGCACGGGAGTGGAGAAAGAGGGAGGGCGGCGAAGCTTCCTTCTTCTTGATCGAGCACGTGGTCGAAGGGGAGGCGGAATCAGGGGCGGGCGGTGCGGCTCCCTTTGCAGCGACGACGAACGAAAATCCGCTCGGGGCGACGATGGACGAGGAGATGGGGTTGAAGGTGACGGCGAAAGCAGGCTAGACTTGCTGTCGGGGAGTCTCGTCGCCGCCGCTGGAGATGCTGAGGGTGAAGAAGGAAAAGAAGGAGTGTGGCGGTGGCAATCCTCCTCCGAACCCTAAGTCGGCCGCATCGATCCTCGCCACACAGCTGCTTGCGGAGTCGGGTTGGGCTGAGTGGCCAAATGACCTAATACGAGTGGGCTTTCCATGGGCTGATAGGTCTGAAGGGTGGAAAGGAATGTTTGGGCTGGAGATAAGCTATGGGTCGAGAATTAAGAGGGAGTGGGCTGAGGATGAGATTGCTGGTGGGTATAGT